AACCCAATTGTGAGGTTCGGTCGTGGTGGATAGACCTTGCCAAGGGTGCAGTAGCGCCACTTAGTCCCATGCGACAACGAGGTCTTTCCTTGTTCTCGTCATCAGACCCTCGAGACCTAAGCGGGGTAGGCAATATCTCCAGCGGGGCGGTCTCCGCGAGAGGGATCGGCTCTTGAGTGGTGTGTGGTTTTTGGATTCCATTGTCTTAGATTGGCCGAGGATGTCGTCTTTCCTCTCTTCGGGAATGTGATATGTGGGAACCTCTCATATCATTTTGGAGCCCCTCAACCCTCTGGGTCCGGTACTTGAGAATTGGGACGTGTGGAGTTACCAGTGTTTATGGAAACTCACTGGGATTCGCGTCAAGGTATCTTCTGCTAAGACTCGCAATCGACAAGATGACTAGTCCCATCCGGCCAACTTTGCGAATCAGTGACCACTCGGTCTGGGCCCGGCGTTCATTTTGGCTCAAGTCTCAGGGGCACAAAGACAGCCGCCATGCAGCGCCGCGGCGTAGCCCCAAATGCTGCAAGACAAAGCGTAACGGCGCCCCCGGTGGTTCCGGCGATTTCGTCCGGGCTAGTCTCGCGTGAGTCTGGCGCCTGTCTGGGTGCGCCTGGCATCCTCTGGCCCAAGCTGCGTTGCCACACCCGCGTCGCCGACTCGAAACTCAATCTGCTGTCATGTCTGTCATTTTGGATTACGGTGTGTGATGAGTGAGCCGTTTTACGTGCGTACTTTTGGTTGTGATGATAACTGGCTCATCGGCTAATGTCTGTCACATTTCTGCAAGCATATCAACTTCCATGACGGCGTCACATCGCCAACTCTCCACGTCGAAAAGTCAAACCGTTCTGACCGCCACTTCGATTCCGAAACTTGATCCTGTCAATCGGACCCGGACGACTGGGTCATTAAATATCCTCCTCGGTCAGGGAGACCTCCACCTGTCCTCAAACTTCATTGGTCTCGGCGCCGTAGCATGAGTCTCTTCCCGCCCCTTTCGTCACCTTATGGCCGAACCACCATGATGTCCTCACGCTGCATTCGTCTGCTGTTACATAGCCGTTATCCACAGCTTCAAGAAGTTTCGCTGGATTCTCCTCCACCGCTGGTTTAGCGCTCCCCTTTTCGTCGCCAATGATTCTTCTACGATCACCATGATCCTTGCCTGGGAGCATATGCGGCACATCCGCAATTCCCGTCCTGCTTGCGGATAGTCCCGCGCGTCCCCAAGATGGGGCTGCCAGTTGACTGCACTGTGTTTTACTGACAAGTCTTGACCAGTGAGACAGAAGCCAAGATGTTAGGATCCAGTTTGCGGAAGTCGTTTGCCAGGATCCATGGCATGCTCCGGTCTTACACGTATTTGTACATAGATAGTAGCGAGGCACTAGGCGTCGACATCCACCTGCCAGCGACTCGCGTTGATTACGGCACTGGGAAGACAACCCCTGTTGATAACCAAAGATACGACATTCTACGACTCATTGATTGCGTAGATCTCAACGGCACGTTGAGCACAGCGAAGCCGCGAGCTATGCGACAGAATTTCGCAAGAGTTTCCAATCTCATTGTTGAAGACTAAGCGCAATCTGACAAGTCTAGTACCCTCAATGACCAGCGTTGGATTTCTGTTCTCGTCCAGCTCTAGGCTTCACCAACTTGAAGTCGCGAAACTCAACAAACTTTGAATCACCTTGACCCTTGAGCATGTATTAGGCCTTGAAATGGAGAAATACTATTGTAGCTAGGGTGCAAGCTCGGCAACCGTCGGAACTCCATCGCTTTGCGCGCGCGAAGGCCCCATTGGTCTCATTCGAACCCGGCCGCCCCCCTTTGCCCTCTCACCCACTACTTTTCTCAGGTTGTCCAATGCTAATTCATCTTTCCGTCTCGTCTCCTTCGGGGGTTCTTCCATAACTAGAGGCTCATCACTGCTCGCCGGTATGAAGAACCAAGGACGAGCAACCCAGTTGGGCATCCCGCTCGGTTTCGGTGAATAGTTGACGTAAAACGGCAATGTCAACTCCATGATTCCAACCTCTTTGCGGAACGCGACATCATCGAACTTGGTATGTATATCCGTGTTCATGATGCTGATCTTGCTCCAAGGAGCGACAGCAGCTTCGGTGATTTTATCGACCGTTACATGAGTTGCCAGATTGATTCCGGACCAAGACGCAAGAGAGGCCGTCGTGCCCATCTTGAATCTCTTCAGTGCCGTCATGTTGCTGCTCCAGTGGTCGAGCAGCTCATGCCAGGACAAGCTAGAGTGGTAAAACTCGGTCCAAGTGTCGTCGACAAGATCAATGTCCCAAGTGGCTGGCAAGTACCCACGATTCGAGACTTCAACGTCGTTGCCGTCGGCGTCTTGGACAGTGACTATGGTGTAGTCGCGGTCTCGGTCCAGATCCCAAATCTCCCATTGAGGGATTGTACAATATGCTTTCGATACCACCACGCATTCATCGAGGTATAGCTCCTCTATCCCGCCAGCTAAGCTCTGGCTTCCGAGAGAAGCAAACCAGTCTAGCTGCCACTCATGACTGAAGCAGTATCTTCCCAGACCTAGGACCTTCAAGTGCGGAAATCCAGAGCCTGGTCCGCTGCCGGGATTGATGAGGCGGAAGTCAAACTTGGGTTGGTAGCCCCAGATATCGTCGTAGTAAAGAGACAAGGTTGTCAGGTTACAGGCGAGCTGTGGTTTGAACCACGAGGTGAGTTCGCGAAGATAGAGATCTTGCCACTGGTAATTGTACTCAGTCGGCTCATCCTCCAAGTTGTCCCATAACGAGTTGTCCGGGTCATCAGGTGCTACCATCAACTTGACACGTTTGAGCGTTGGAAGGGCCATTACTTGCTGGAAGATGGGCCAATCCGCGAGGTGCTTCCGATGCAATGGGTCTTCCGTACCATGATCTTGGCCCTCGTTGATATCCTCAGCTAGATTGAAAATGGCCAATTCCTCTAGCTGGATTTTGGGAAATCCGCCATCAATCAGCCTGTCCTCTACGCTCCAAGACATGTCCGGGGTTTTCAAGTCTCCCATCCAGGCAAAGTCTTCCGACGTCCCCAGGCTCTGCGACAATTGAACCAGATCCTGATCATCTTTACTACCGCCGTGTATGCAGTAAAAGGCAACAAGAATGACAAAGCGCCGAAAGCTGTAGATATCATAGAAACGATAACTCGTGGAGTTATTCGGTTCAGCGTTCTCGTCGCCGTCATCTGCATAGTCGGTAAACTTCAAGTTCAGAACTTTGAGCCCGGAGAAGTATCTGAGGTAGGGTAAAGCCTCAAGGAAGTCCATAGGGAAAGGGCAGTAATCCAGAACCGCGCGAGCATCACATGTGACCTCTCTCACATGTCGCCGAAGGTTTGTATCTTTGGCAATGTGCGTGAACCGGTCGCAGAAAGGTGGCTTGAGTAAGATATGCTGGAATGATCTGGGGGTTGCTGCGGCGGACAGAATTTTGCTCCCCAGCCGAGCGGCGTGAGCCGTCGACTTTGACGTGTGGGCAAAGACGAGTCCAAGTACCTCCACTGGTAGCCGCGGCAATGGAGAGGGACTCTCAGCCATCGGTTCTTCAAGGCCAGGTTCGGCCGGGGAGGGTGGCTTCGTTGCGAGATGGTCGGAGTTGTGTCGTTGAGTTCGGATTGATGACATTGAGGGAAAACTAAAATCCAGAGTGCCCCTGTCTCGGAGGAACAAGAGCCCCGCACATCTAGTCCGCTGAGATCATTGGCGAATGAGGCTCAAGCGTAGTGAAGTGTCGCAACCTCAATCTAGTAGATTGGGTCCTTGACCCTCAAGGTAGAAAGGAAGATGGAACGATCCTTCTGCAAAGGGGTGTCCTCTCATACTTGTTAAAACATGACCCATATCCTGAATGGAACGTGGTGGTCTGATGTGAACCGCACATCTCCATTGGCTCAGTGTCGGAGTTCAGAGGCAGTTGAATTGCGCTAGCGGCTGATCACTATCGATGGAAGGCACGCATAAAATGCACTTGCCTGCAAAGGCCAATGACCCTAGTTACTCAACATAATGTTTCTAGGTCTCTGGGTGACTTGATACCTTTTTTTTCTCTTTCTTTTCTTTTCCTTTTCTTCTGATGCTTATATGTAGCTTAGACGCTACATGTACGGAGTAGCCATCGAGATTTCAATCTGCGAGAGTATTTAATTACAACTTACCTATCCTACGGAAGTGCCGATTACCATCGTCATATGGCACGACCATTGCAGTTAAGATAATGCCAAATTTGGTTATGACGATTTTAACTAATCTAAGAGCCTGAAAGCTGCGAAGAAGACAGTGACAAACATCGTTTTCCAAACGTAAAAGGTCTCGAGTAGAGAAATACAGTCGTTTGATAGAATCAATATCGCAACGGCAGGATATAATCAATACTCATGATCCCCCTGCATCAACTGTAGACGATGACCAATCGCAATGTGATGTAGGCTCTCTCAGAATGACTAAAAAGCAAAGAGGGTGGTCGTTGGCGTTCTAGCATTAACAATCTTCCTCAGGATATGACTGATCAAGAGTTTGGATGGAAATGAGGCGAGACCCATCAATCAGCGACCAGGACATGAAGCCACGGCCCAAAAAAATACGCGGAGCAGGAGCGGCCTCCGCAGTCTGTTGGTTTGTTGTCTCCTCGCTCAACGAGGAAACCAAGGCCGTTCCACTGCTAAACGAGCCAATCGGGTTGGTCTAAGGGATGCAATTCTGTAGCTTGCGGCTTCAACGGAAGCACGATATTGGCCGTAACCCTTGCTTCGCATCAAACATCCTGCTTCCGGCCGAAAACATGGAGAAAAAGACTGGAGACGATGGTTGGAACGTGTTCATGTTGGTGTTGGCTTGAGGATGCTTCCCTTGGGACGTTATCTTCCCCTCTTTCTCACTTTTGCCCCTACATCTCACTCCTCTCACTTCTCTATTGCTCTCCTTCTCACTCTTTCTCAATTTCGCGCCCTTCCTCAAAATGATAGCCGATCGCGCTTCAGTCCCTCGTAGTAACTCGGGCTCCGACAGTCACCGGAGTGATTCCTCGTCACCGGTCCCAGCAGCCGCGATAGCAGCGGACGATGGGGCTTCAGACGATGACGGTTACCATGATGCAAGCGATGATAGCTCAAATGCATCTACATCTTTGGCATCAAGTGTTCGAGATTACAACTTTGAGAATAGGCGTCGCTACCATAAGTTCAAAGAAGGCCGCTACATGTTACCGAACGATGATCAGGAACAGGATCGCGAAGACATGAAGCACGCTATGCTCGTGCATGTATGCGAGGGCGCTTTGCATAATGCTCCCTTGAAAAGCCCGCAAAGGGTCCTTGACATTGGCACTGGCACTGGAATTTGGGCTATGGACAGTAAGTGTTGCGTTAAATGTTCAGTTGCCATAAATGAAAGCGCTGGGAGTGCTGATCGTTGAAAACATTCTCAGTGGGCGACGAGTATCCAGAAGCCGATATCACTGGCCTTGACTTGAGTCCGATTCAGCCTGCTTATGTGCCACCAAATGTGCATTTTGTAGTAGACGACGTCGAGGCTGATTGGCTCTACCCGGATGACTCAATTGATTATATCCATGTGAGAAATATGGCTCCGGCACTCAAAGATTGGCCAAGACTGCTTTCGCAGGCTTATAAGTAAGGATTTAAAATTATGTCATGGCTGCCAAGTTGCCCTACTAAAAAGAAGCAGAGCCCTCAGACCGGGAGGTTGGATCGAGGTGCAAGACATGGTGTGGGCGTTTGCTTGCGATGATGGCACAGTCGGCCCAGACTACGCTCCCAGGAAGACGATGGACCTTCTGAAAGAAGCCTTGGACAAGTTTGGTGTGGACATAGATGTGGCCGATAAGTTTGCCGACCGTATTGAGTCCGCAGGCTTCGTCAATCAAATCCATGAGGTCAAAAAGGTACCAGTGGGCACTTGGCCAAAAGAGCCTCATTTGAAGACGATCGGCAGTTACTGTGCTGCCGTCAACTACGACTCCTTGGGGGCAGTGACGAACGTGCCGTTTACAAAGGGATTGGGCTGGACCCAGTTGGAGATCGAGGTTTTCTTGATTCAAGTGCGCAAGGATTTACTGGACAATTCCAATCACGCGTATCATTACTATCACTCTTACTCTGGCCAGAAGCCTCTGGAAGCGGAGAGCTAGACATAGGCGCGGGGTTTCAGGTCAGACAAACATAGTTCCGAAATTCATTTCACATTTCCCCCACTAGATCTTGCCGCTACACCAAGGCTGCAGTCACGTCAAGTTCAAAGTTTCTCGGATTCTTTGACTGGCCAGATGTATCCGCATAGAGTAGAATACATGACTTGGGTGTGCTCCACTTTTAGACAAAAACTTACTGCCATAGATCATGACCACAACTCTAGGTTTGCTATGGGGTATGTGGGCGGCGATTATCAAGTTGCTGCCTTACCCCAGTGTCGCGAAACCTCACCGAGTCGTCTTAAACAATACCAGATTATCTCTTCGAATGCAGTCATCTCATTGAATAGAACTCGCAAAGCTGTTGAGGGACTTTCAGCGTTGTCTCGCGGTGGTAAACACAGATCCTTAGTACGTGCCAAAAAGTAAAAAGTGAAGATGGAACTAGACATACTTCACACCAGTCACAAAGCCCCAATTCAGTAAAGTAGCACGGTGAGGCGAAATGTTACCCAGTGTTTGCATATGAGGTCTTTGTCCATTGCTCATCGTGGTGCCGACTCCTTAGACCGTATTTGCGTGATCCCATTTTGTGGCCGCAATGGAGATTAAAGGGGTCGATTCATCATCTAAAGTTTCGGGCGGCTGCTGAAGTCTCATTGCGGGCAGTATTTCTCTTCAACCTCTAGAATAAGGTGGTGCGAAAACTCTGATGCTTCGCTATCGTGACAACCCAACTCAAAGTCAAAGGCAATCGAGACCATGGCGCGGTAAGCACTTGAGAGAGATCCTAGATCAAGTGACAGAAATTGCAGACCGCAAATCCCATTTCTTGATGGATGCACGAGATTTAAGAATTGTATGAAGACATCGCAGCAAAAGGCCATATACGCAGGATCGAGAGCTCGCTGAATTCCGCGGAGAAACACGATGACCATCATCCGCGAAGTCCGTGATAAGTGATAGTAGCACCGGGTTGGTCAGACACAGGAACGTGCTCATGGCGGTCAGCTCCGCTGTTGGCCTCTGCTCTCCATCTTCCCCATCATGAAAGGGGCACACGTCACGATGCAACTCAACAGCCCTAAGATGGCAGGACGGATCTCGGCCGATGGGAATGAATGGACTAATCACCGCGCTAATGAGCGCGCGATGCAAACTCGTGTCAGGACCTTGGCCATCACAATGATCGTGTCCACTTACCCGCTGCCCCCAATAACTTGGCAATTCTATCAGGCATAGTTCGTAAACAACCACCCAATCGTGGTCGTTGCCTAACGATCCGGACCCTCAACTCTATAGTGGTTCCTGCATGAGCCTCACTTTGGAAAGAAACATCTGAAGTATAAGAAACAGAGACAAAGTAACTGCCCTCCCTCCTTTCTCGTTTCTCTCCTCTCTTCCAAGTCGTTCTTTCTGTACATTCTGCATTATCAACTTCAACTGCAACTCAGCTTCACGCTGGCGTGATTTTGTCACTCTTTCAAATCAATTTCACGCGTCCATTCTTTTATCAAACATTACATTCTTTTTCTGGTATTACACAATATGCGTTTCTCAGCAACCGCCATTTTGGCTGCCGCGGCCGCAACTTCGGCGTCTGCCCAGTCTGTCATTGGCACGGCTTACGGCTTTGCTAAGGGTGTCACTGGTGGTGGTAGCGCCGCCGCTGCCATCCCCTCTTCCGTCGACGAACTCACTCAGTGGCTTGCCGACGATACCCCCCGTACCATCATTATCGACAAGGAGTACGACTTCACAGGCACCTCTGCCAAGGGCAAGGGCTGCAGCCGTAAGAGCTGCACAGTTGCCAACGGCGGCCAGCTCTTCCTTGGAGACCTCTCCTGCGGCACCAGCGACAACGTTGCTACCACTGTCAGCTACGACCTCGCTGCTACCGAACCCCTCATCGTCGGCAGCAACAAGAGCATTCTCGGCTCCAAGGGCAAGGGAATACTCAACGGCAAGGGCCTTCGTGTCAAGACCAACGCCAAGAACGTTATCATTCAAGGCATCGAGATCACCAACCTGAACCCCACTGTTGTCTGGGGAGGTGATGCCATCGACTTGCAGGGCGGCAACGATGGTGTTTGGATTGACCACAACAGAATTTCCAAGATTGGTCGCCAGTTCATCGTCACTCACTTCGCCGGGTCTCGCGTCACCATTTCCAACAACTACTTCGACGGAGCCACCCCGGCTTCAACCACCTGCAACGGCAACCACTACTGGACTGAGATGCATCTTGGTGATGGAGACCAGATCACCATCGACAGAAACTACTACGTCAACGTCTCTGGCCGTTCCCCCAAGCTCGGCCCCAAGGGTACCTTCCACACTACCAATAACTTCTTCCAGAACGTCCAGGGCCATACTTTTGAGCTTTTCACTACTACCCTCGCTCTTATTGAGGGTAACGCGTTCGAGAACGTTAAGCAGCCTTACGTCGGCCAGGTCTTCTCCAACAGCTTCAACGCCCCCGATGCCAAGTCTGCTGCTGCCTGCTCCTCCAAGATTGGCCGTGCTTGCGTGATCAACAGTGTCGACTCCAAGAGTGGCCAGTTCAAGGCTTTGGCCCAGACAAACGTTCTGTCCACCTTCGCGAAGCTTAGCGGATACCTTGTCAAGCCCGTTGCTGCCGATACTGTCGCCAGCCTTGTCGTTGGCAACGCCGGTCCCGCTAAGCTTGGCGGCTCCGGCTCCGGTGCTACCCCTACCACTGTTGCCACTTCTACCCGCAAGGCTACCTCTGTCATTGCCGCGACTCAGAGCGCCAAGGTCACAGTTAAGGCCCCCTCGACTCACACCCCCAAGGTTACCCCTACTGCTGTCGCAACTCCCAGCTCTGGCGCCAACCACACTTCCAAGGCCAAGCCTACTCCTAGCACTCCCAGTACTCACACTTCCACCAAGAGAGCATCCTGCCAGCAGACTGCCGCTGGCAACTCCACCGAGTCGGCCATCGTTCAGATTTACCACCAGTGCGGTGGAAAGGGCTGGACTGGTGCCACCGTTTGCGTCGCTGGAACTTCCTGCGTTGTTCAGAACGAGTGGTACTCCCAGTGCGTGAGCTCCGCTACCAGACGCAGCGCCAAGGCACTCCGTCGTGTCTAAAGATCTAGACATTGTATACATTAAGACCTCGTAGTCTTTAAAGCTAAGGTGTGACTGGATAGCACCCAGTTTCTCTTCTTGAAGATAGTAGTTTATAGTTGGCCTTCCGGCCTTGTATCGAAAGCCAGCCGATAACCGCGGTAGCACATAAGAAACATACGTCATGATCGAGAAAAATCCCTTATCATCTCCGTGATTCGTCTGCCTTTCTGATTTAATTACACAATCACCCGTTATTTGAGGACCTTATGGTACCTTGGTCAATATCCCGGAAGGACCTGAATGGCAGGTGAAATTCCTTAGGCTCCAAACAAGTAAGCAGATGCCTCATTTTGTAATCCTTATCAGTAAGGTGCGTAATGTAGACGAGAAGCCTCCGCGAGACTCATGTTGTGAAGCAACCAATAATGCATGCTTGAAGACACTATTGTGAAGGTACATACACTTGTTCACCATAGTATTACTTTGACTCTGCTACTTCTTGAATGCCGAAGTGGTATTGATGTCAATACAACCAGCTAAGGTTTCGATAACAGGCAGTGACATGAGTGTTCAGTTGATGTAGCTGGCCCAATCTCGCTGCTTGCCGTAGAGTTGGAATTGTTTGTGGAGGTGGGATCGTCTAGTTGATATTGTCCCTTTCTTGCTTCGTCCTAAGTCTAGAATTTTCTTTCGAGCGAGTGTATGGAAGACATCCAGGTGTCTTTGAAGGCTCTCGCTACGAAACACATTATAGGGACTCACGAATCTAGCATATCGACTGGTAGCTGGCAGTGTCGTGGAGATAGGGGCAAACAGGTGATTAAGAACCTCGGATCCCGAATATGGACGAACACCTGCGTCGGTGGCACAGCTTACTTTACTGTGTATGTTTGGTCTCCACAGTCTGCAAACTTCGTGTTAACCCGGTACCCCACTCTCCTCAAAGACCCAGCGAGGATCGGAGTACTCGGTCCTCTGAGCCGGATAGTGGCGGTCGTTGTGGGAAATGTGGGTGTTTAGCTGATGCCCGCCAGAGCAGAATTTCGTGCCGAGCATGCGAGCAGCAGTCCATCCATTCGAGCCAGAGGGAACTTAGAAGTGGCGTAAGCATCTAGGCTAGAATCTCTACTGTCTCTACCTCATGTTCGGAGTGATCAGTAGAAGTCTGCCAGAGGGTTGACATGGAAGCACATCACAATATGAAGATGCCCCGGCAATTGTGGGCGTGGCGCGATTGAGATGGCGATCTTGAGTTATTATTTGCAAACCAGTCAGAAATCTTTGCTACTTCCACATCACGCACATCCATGTCCTCGACTACAAAAACGGTCCATTTGTGCCACTGTGTTCTTAAGAATGGTTTTTCCAGTCGATAAAGGAATCAGTGGTGCCCGAACAGACATGGATGGACGGATGTCAAGTTTTGCAGGCGCATCCAGCACATCTGATGTCCTCCTCCTCTTACAAAACTCTCTAATCCTCTTGAGAGTGACAAAACCCCCCTCGAAATCCAGCCCGGGGCACTTTGAACCCACGGACGTGCGATTTGCGGAGGGGCATCGTGGCCGTTTGTCGCAGAGTCCACTGCTGTTGTTTGGATCGGAACCAGGGTGATGTGATGTGATGATCTGAAGGCGCGCAGATCTTCCACTATTTCACCTTCGGATGACCCATGCCATCGGTTATGTTCAGACGTTGAGTTGGAAGCCACGAGGCCAAACAAGACGATGCACGAAACCTAGTGCCCGAGGGCACGAGTGGAAGGCGTTTCCGCACAGGCCTCTTCTCGGGCGATCTACTGTTTCGAAATGCGATAGATTAACGCACCGCGGACGACGATATCATCTTTGAAAAGTGCCAACTGGTTGCTTGGACAGTTGTGGCAAAGGTCGCACAACTTCAGG